TTCATTTTCACGTGCTGGCTTTTAAGCTAGTTAAGTATTGAGACAAGAGTCGGCCACAACAGATAAGGAAGAGATGGACTTTGCTATAGTGAAATAGTTTGTTAGAATGCAACTACTTCAGAGATAAACTCTGCTGCAGAGTTTGTTTTTGGGTTTGGGTTGTCACGGAATGGTGGGGTAGTGATCTATCCATGTGGGTATGTGGTGTTTGGGGGCTAGCCATGGGGGTTTGTGGAGGTGGGTTTTGAAGTGGATTACCTGGCAAGGTAGTGGAGTGATGCCGATCAGGTTGGAGTAATGGAGGTGGTCGGAGTGGGACACTAAGCCACGGGAGTGAAACAGTGGATGAACTTGTGTTCGTAACGGACAAGTGAATTTGTGAAAACAGGAATATCGACTTAACAAATCGGACATGACGAGCAATGTAAAGGCGATTTTTGGTTTTGTCAAAACAACGATAACCCATATGTGATGGGCTATATCCTAAGAAAATGCAAGGTGCAGATCGAAAATCAATTTTATGTTTGTTATAAGATCTTAAATATGGAAAACAGAGACAACCAAAAATTTTTAGAAAGGAGTAATCCTGGCTTTTCTTAAACACAAGTTCAAATGGTGATGTATATTTAGTGATAGGAGAAGGCATTCCGTTAATTAAGAAAACAGTATGTGCCAAAGGCGTATATCTAATATTGTTTGGGAATATGGGCCTCTCGCTAAGAGGGTGAGGCCTGTTTCCATAATATGGCGATGTCGTCTTTCTATAGTACCGTTTTGCTCATGTGTGTGAGGGCACATAATGCGGTGGGCGATTCCTATATTTTAGAAGAATTTATTTAGTTCTCGAAATTCCTCGCCCCAATCGGTTTGGACTTGTATGATTTTACAACTAAACCGATGTTCAACCAGATTTTGATATTGAATGAAAACATTATACACATCCGATTTTTTACTTAAGGGGTAGAACCATATATATTTAGAGAAGTTATCAACAAAGATAACATAATATTTAAAACCATCAACGAAGTAGCAGGGGAGGGACCCTAAACATCACCGAAAATTAAATTTAATATACTCGTGCTTGGATTGTTTGATAAAGGCAAAGATAGATGACTAGATTTTCCTAATGGACATGACAAGCATTGACTCGATAAATTTAAAGGTTTTGATAAGGAGTACTTATGTAAAAGAAAATTGAGTACTCGATGGTGGGGGTGATCCATTCGGAGTGCCAAACCGGTGCGGAGACTTTTGCTGAGAATGCTTTAGGACTCGGAGGTGGGATATGAAGCATGAAGGGAGTAGAGATCGACATACTCCTGCATGAAAGAAGTTAGGTCTTATGTATTTGGTCCTTAACACAAAACATAGAGGGTGAAATTCCCAACATAAGTTATTATCTTTAGCAATGCGTTTCACGGATAATAGGGGTCGGGTTATTTGTGGGACATGTAACACATCAAGCAATTTAAGAGATCTAGCGGGAATGTTAATATGACTTGAACCAATGTGCAAAATAGGTAAAAACTTATCGTTTCCAACTTGGAGTTGATCCTTACCCATGTATGGTTCATATGTACTTAAGTTAGCTAAGTCGGGAGTCACATGATGTGAGGCAACGATATTAGGACACAATGTATGTGAGCACGACTATGGAGTGGAGGAAGGCTGTGATATTTACGATGGGATGTTGTTGGTCGAAATGGCGTTGTGGGCGGTGGACGGCTGTGTGGCTCCGGGCATGGCGGATCCGGCATTTGGTGCGGCTTGTCTTGGTTGTTCCGGTAGCCACGGTTTTCGAGTGAAAAGAGGTGTTCCAATACACGTTGTTGGAGCGGCCACGTACCCTTCCTCTAGATTGTCTATCACGATTTCTATTGGAGTTTAAGTAATGATCTCCTTAGGATCGATAACCCGAGCCCTTAGCTATTATGTGAGCTACATGAGGTGTGGATAATAGAGGAGGAGTAGGTGTGGGTAGTAGGCCATGTTGTGGTGGTGACACTAAATCCGAATCAAGGTGGAGAAATTCATGGGTGACCAAGAAGCTATGGAGGTCGGTGAATGTTACCGGTTCGGGACGTGTGGAGAGAGTAGTGATAATATACCCGAAGTCACTAGAGAGGCCTTTAAAGATATAGAGATTGAAGTCAATCAAGGAGAGAGGACGGTCAACTATTGTTAGTTCATCACTAATTGATTTGGCACGATGGAGGATGGTAGAAGCCGATTCATGGTGGTCTTGCTTGAGCCGTTGCAAGCCTAGGTGTAAGCTCATTATTCGAGTGCTAGATGGGGAAGCAAGGCCTCTTTCAAGTGTGAGCCAAACCTCACTAGATGTGGTGCAATCAATTACCATAGGAAGCACTTTTGTTGAGAGGGAGGAGATGAGAGTGCTCATTAGAAGTTGGTCTTGCTTGGATCCATGCTTTGTAAGCGGGGTTTTGTTGTGGAAAGCCATCATTGGAGGCTGGAATATGGTTGGGGGGGGGGCAAGGGAAAGATCCATCAACAAATCAAAATAAGTATTGGCCAAGGAGAAAAGGCTTAAGCTGAATGCGCCATAACGGATAATTTGTTTGGGTGAGTTTCAAGGAGATGAAATGGTGGGAGTTAGTTAGGTGACTCGTTGGAGTGATAGATCGAGGAATGGTCGGCACGATTTCGGTAGTGGTGGTGGGAGAGTTGGTGTTGCTAGGGGAAGTCATTAGGTGCAGCTGGGGGGAGGAGGCAGTAGGCGTCAGCTGGGACCTTTGGGAGGAAAAAAAGAATGCAGTAGTGATTTGGGCAATAGCTTGTGTGGCCTGAGGGACGTGTGGTACCAGCCTAGAAAAGAAAGGAAAGGAAGGGACATGTGGCGTTGCAATAGCACTAGAAAAGAGTGGGAGCGTGTGGTATTTGGGTAGTAGCTTGTGTGGCGTGAGGGACGTGTTTTGCTGCAGTAAGAAAGAAAAAGAAAAAATTACGTGTTTTGCTGTAGTGAGGAAGAAAAGGAGAAGTTTGGTTATTAAGCCTTGTAAGGCTCTGATACCAAGATAAATCGTGTGTCTCTGTTGAAAGATAATATTTTCAGCGTTATTTTTCTAGGACTTTAACATGTCCTTTATATATACGTACAAGTATAATGTATTTAGAATTCTAGATAATACAATGGATAAGAACAAGAGAGTACAAGTAATTCACTAACTACTGTAGCAGAGTTCTTGTAACTAACAAACTCTGAAGCAGAGTTTATCTCTGAAGTAGTTGCATTCTAACAAACTATTTCACTATAGAAGAGTCCATCTCTTCCTTGTCTGTTGTGGTCGACTCTTGTCTCAATATTGAGCAATCCTCAATCCACGTGTTAGTAAGCTTAGGCTGGTGGAGCAACGGCAAAGAAGGGAGTTCTTTATTTTCTTCTTGTCAGATTCAGGTGAAGGAATATAGCAATCTCTATAGCTTTGCCTTTCCATGCTTCGCTTATCACTGTCTAGATACTCGGCATTTCCTCTGTATTTTATGCCGAAACAAGCAGTTGATTAATGAGTACGGCAAAAACACAAAAATAGTTGGTTTGTCAGAGAGGATGCAGGGTGTTCATTGCTTGCTTGCCTTCGTCGGAAAACGTAGACAGCGTCGGAGATTTTGAGCTTTGCAATCAATTTATTTTGATGTCCGTCCAATAAGATCAGTCGTTCTAATTTTTTACTATATTTTTTTAGGAATTTGATGATCAATGAAAAAGTAATAAATTTATGTTATTGTAAAAAAAAAAATCAATAAAATCATATCTATTACTCTTATGTTATAAACAAATAATTAACTTAAAAAATCAATAAAAGGAATTTAAGCAACCTACTTCTCATTTTATCCAGATGATAAAAGATGCCATACGTTCACAGCGTGCCTAGCACCTTAAGTTATTTATAGTTTAAATATCAAGTATTATTTAAACTTAATTAAAGCTTAAATTGCCATGAAAATATAGAAGATAGAAAAGGAGGAAAAACTCAAAAAAGTTTATCTACACCTAGACAAGTTAAAAAAAGAAAAATTAAAATTACAGATTTTATAATCAAATAGATGCTCATTCAACCTAGATAATTTTTCTGGATTTGTTTAACTAAAGAAGGAAATTCCCCAATAGAAGTGAAAAAAAAAAGAGAAACTAAAAGAAAAATTGATAAGCTCCACCTCATTCAATTGGAAAACAGTAATTAAACAGATGTATTGTTAAATAAAACTGCTGGGGATTGCTAAATAAAACTGTCATATGTATTGTTATGAATAAATTGTTAAAATATTATGTTTTGGGTTATATATGAATAAAGTAGATCTTTTAAGTATGAAAAAACAACAATATTTGTGCGATCCCAACTCACCAAGTAGATAACTAGTGCAGGACAATAATTAAGAGTGAGGTCACGGCTTTGCTGTAAGATTGAACTGCTGCTGCATAGTGACAAGTGGACCAAGGAAAAAGTTCTTTTGTCCCTATCAGAATTTTTTTTTTTTTTTTTTATATGCATCTATGAGTTAAGTAGGAAAATAAATGCAGCAATGGTATGTGTTTAATTATGTGCCGACGCAGCAAATAAATGCAGCGAGTTATTATTTAGGTATTTATGCAGGCCAGACAATACTTGTACTGGGAAATTAAATTTTCCATCCACTGCTCGGTATGCATAACCTTTGATTGTAAATTCAATAATGTAAATTAGATAATAATAATAATAATAAGTTAAATTGTTATAATTTTTATCATGAACTAAATCATATTCATTTATTTACTGATTTTTGATATTAGAATCATGACAATCATGTTCTTAAAATAAGTGAAAATTTTAATCCTAATTTCAACGTGAATCATGATATTTAAAGTCTTTGCCTGCAGCCTGTCCACATTTGTCACGTCATGTAATGATCGTTTTTTAAAAGGTCTTTATTTTGGATTTCTCCCCTGCCTATATAATGGGAACCAACTGCTTGTGTATATTTGCAGGAGGAAAAGAGAAGAGATGGCAGGCAAATGGTTAGCACTTTTATTTCTCTTCACAGTGCTCCATCCTATTCCAACTGCAACTGCATTTGGAGACTATAATATCTCTGAATCTATGGTACAGGTACTGCAATATTCATTTAATTAAATTACACACTAATTGCTTGTTCTTCTCCTAAATTTTTGAACTTACTAAAATATATGTTGCTCTCTCTCTCTTTTTCTTTGTTTTGTTTTTTTTTTTCAAATGCACCAGGTTAACAGACCAAATTATGAATACTGTGACTTCGTTCTACAGGTATACCCTTCTAATAAAGACCATCTCTATTGATATTGGATCTTTTATTCCCAAAACTTACGGTATTTAAAGCAAAATCTTACGTTTTTCTTTTCTTTTAGTGGATGATTTCTGCTTGTATGACGGATAGGACGTGCAGGCCGGGACGAGCGAGACAAGCTTTTGGCATTCATGGGCTCTGGCCTGTTAATTCGAGGGGAACGCCAGTTGTTTCATGCAGACCCTGCCGATCCTTTAATTCCAGAGAGGTACTGCTACATATATGCTTCTTTTATTGCTGAAAAGATACAATCATTTTGGTATTCCTAATAAAAAAGCAGAAGCTCAGGTCTTGGATGATGTCATTTCTCCTTTACTGATGTTCCTGTCCTGCTATTGTCGTCTCCGTCTTTGAATTAGTTTTCAGTTTTTGGCCTTCTCTCGCCCGGCGCTTCCTGTCACTTTGCGGCTGTTTTCATGTATCGGCTTATTCAAAAAATAAATAATAATAATAATAATAAATCTGAAGATCAGAATTATTATTGCTGCCGGTCCTATAGCAAGTATATTTATATTGGTATCTTGCTAAAAATACTTCTTTTACTAATTGCAATTTCTGATTTCATTTTTAACAAAAACCAATGAGAAACTAAAAGCATATAATTATTTGATTTGTTTTTTACAGCTCCCACGCGCCCTCTATGTACAATTGGTAAATTTATGGCCATCACTCTATGATGATAGATATTACGACTTTTGGAAATTGGAGTGGGAGAAGCATGGGTGTTGCTTTGATGATAATGGCTATCCTGAGACAGCGCTGGCTAATTACTTTCAGGCAGCCGTTTCCCGGGCACAAAGTTACAATATCTGGGCGTATCTAACTAGCGCAGGTTTGTCTCTAAGTACATATGGAATATGTTAGGATCACACAGTACAATAATCACAGCAGACGTAAAAGAAACCATCATACATACACTATCACAGTTTTTAGTTTTTATGTGGTTCGGCTATGGCTTTATTCAAAGGCAAAGAGAAGGATTAAATTTTACTATCGGAACAGTGAAGAACTCTCAATCCTAATCCTAAACACACTCAACAATCGCAGCCCACAATCCACAATTAGGGTTCTCTCCGACCCTCTAAACTATACTTGCTGCTTGAGCTTGTCTTTCATAATTAAAAACGGAGAGAATATACATGATGCATGTTTGCTTCACTTTGAATAATTTTCATTTTGAAGTGTGCATAAAATGTTGCAGGTATAACAGTAGATGAAGAGTACGATGTAAGCCGCATTACCAACGCAATTCAAACAGGTTTAGGAGTTCAGACGAATGTTGTTCAAATCCAGTGCGCCAGGCGCAGAAACAAATTGGTGGTCACTCAGATCTTCTTGTGTGTCAATAAGAGAGCCACGGCTCTAAGAGCATGCCCAACAGGAAGGCAAATGTGCTCGGGAAGGCCTATGTTCCCTTCAAGTGAGTCACAGTTCTAGCTATATTTAATTTATATATGCTTAGCTATTGATTGGATTATTCAGATTTGGTCCATACACTTATTTTTTTTTTATTGGAGCCTCAAATTCTTTTTAATATTGTTTGAATCCATTTACTTTTTATTTTATTTTGTAAAGATGCTTTTATGGTAATATTGTGAATTTATATGCCTACATGACACCTTTCTATTAGAATAACTCTTTCACCTTTGAAATTATGTAACAAAAAATAAAAAATAAAAAACAAACACTTGAAAAATTAATTTAAGTTTGTTTAAATTATTTTTTTCTTAATTAATTTATTTCATTTTAATCATTTAATTTTCACCTAAAACAAGTTTTTTTTTTTTTTAATAAAAAAGGAGTTATTGGATTATGAGTTATTAAGCATTCATTTCTGATAGAAAGGCGTAACGAAAGCATACGAACTAACGTTTTATATATATAGAGTGAGAGAGAGAGAGAGAGAGAGAATTTATTTAAAATAAAGAGTAGAAAGGCTTAATTTTATTTTAACTCTTGTTTCCTGTCAAAAAAATCAGTCTTTCTAATTTTTTTTTTTTTTTGGAATTTGGTTATCACCAAAAAAGTATTACCTTCGTGTTATATATTTAGAAATTTTTTCAATAGACAATCATATCTGCTATTCTATCTTATTATCAAATAATTATCTTAATTATTTTATGTTGTCATAACTCAGTTGACATTACTGACATCCTTTCAAGAAGTCTTGAATTTAAATTTCTCAAAGGAACTTATTGTTATTTTGAGCACTTATTTTTTAGGTTTTTACCTAATCTAATGGACTTGAAGTTTTTAATTAGTACCTAATATATATATTTTTTCATTATTTTACAGGCGTAACTGTGGGGACAGAGAGTTCTATCCCAATGCTTGCAGAAATATAATTCAGCTTGTCAAGTCAATAGCTTCGTTCTCGTTGATGAAAGCTTAAGTTTCTCTTTCCAGGCTGTTTAATTATTGTAATAAAGTTTCCCTATGTATGGTTATGTATGGTTTGATGGTTTAAACTAAATAACATCCCCATTACCATTTGCTCATTAAGAATAGCTCCAAGGCTTCGAACTTGGATAGGGTAAGTGGTGTAAACTAAATAATGCTTGGGATTGTTATGTAAAACTGTCAAAGGTATTGTTATGAATAAAGTTGAATGGATTAATTGCATATTTCGTTCTTTTAATCTTTACGATTCGCTTATTTACTTATTTATCTTGTCTATCTACTTTATATATTTTCTTAATATAATTTTTTCGATAAAATTTCAATAATAAATAATACATGGATTTGCATATCATATAAAATTAATATGTGAAAAAAAAATTAAATAAATAAATAAGTGAAATTGACAGAGTAAAAATGGAAAGAGAAAAAATAAAAAAAACATCAGATTGCAAAACAAAAAAAAATTGCTGATCATTCTTATCATCCTTTTTCTCCCTTCAAGAGCCCAAATCCTCAAATTCAATCAAAAAACATAAACCAAATCTAAACAAATGAAATACACATTCTGATGTTAGAAAACAAACAAACAAACAAATTGAAGAAAGAAAGAAGTTGGAATAAATTTGGACATAAAATCAAACCAATGAAATCAACCTTATCCACTAAATCACCACTATTGGCCACCATAAAACTACTCTCACAAGATGATAATTAAACATTCATAAAAGATAAGGTTAAAAAAATATAGAGTCACCACTCAATTTGGGTGATGACAACTACCACAAATGTTACAAACACAATGTCGTGACTCAAATTTAGGGTTATATATTTTTCTTTAATTTTATCCCTTTTATTTATATTTATTTATTGAGATAGTGAACCGTCTCCTTCCTTTCAAAACCAAAAATGATTTTGATCTCTTTTCATTTTGTAATGGATTTGATTCCCAACCAGCTCGCCAGTCCTTCTCTTTTGCTTAGTCTGCAAGTTGAGCTGCAACAAAAACAAAGGATGAGGACATTAGAGAAAATAACAAAATGGAGTGGTAGGAGGTTTAGATTGACCTGTTTGAAATAAAAGAATTTAAAGAGGGAAAAACTAAAATAAATAGGAATAATAATAATAATAGAATTTCAAAAAAAAAAAAAACTCAATAAAGAGGGCAGTCTAGTTTTTGTTAAATGTCATGATAAAAATAATAATAGAACTTTTAAAAAAAATGAATGAAAAAAAAAACAAACAAATACGAGCCTTAAGGTAAGCTCATAATATTAATTAATTAGTACTAGGAAATAAATCTAAAGCTAGAATTTTGGAAAAATAAGAATAGAACTTAAAAAATACGATAAAAAATATAAAAATGTTGAAAACCTTGTAAATTTCTGTGTCATATTCCAATTTGCCTGTTTGCTATATCATTATCATCAAACCATTGTGAATTTCACTTGTAAAACCTAAAACTCACCACTGCTGCTTGCATATTTATTTGTTTTACATTTGCAGAATTGAAAACCTTGTAAAGATTAATACAATATCAAAAAATTATCTCATTCCAAAAATTTATATTATTAGATGAGGTTTCAAAGAATAATTTTATAGAACTCTCCAACAATAATGGTCATAATTCTGTATAGAAATATGCATAGACCCGTGTTCTAAATATCAGACCACTTTGTGTTGTCATATTAATTATTTATCCACCACGGCCTATTGTTGTTGCAGTCATTATTCATCCACCACATGTTACGATATTTTTATGAAGCAAAATATGGATAGAGGACCACTGAAATCAATGTTCCAACAACAACTGTATTATTGTTTGGTTTTTTTTTTCGTTTATATAATAATATAAAATCATACAAGTTCGAATAGCATAGTGTCAAAAACCATCTCACCTAAAAGCTTTAGCTGCTAAGTAAGGATATTATTCTTTAACACCCCTTCAAGTAAAAGCTTTTTGGATTTGAAACTTGCATATGTCCACTCTCCCTTATGATTAATTAATTAGAAGAAAAAGAGGAGGTGGTAGGATTCGAACTCGTAACCGTTTAGTCATTAAGGCTTTGGTACTATGTCAAAGAATCATCTCACCTAAAAACTTAAGCATTGTTAGATAAGGCCCCAAGACATAATTTATATTATTGTTTAACGCATAGTATCATTTTCTATTCTAATTAAATTAAATAATTAAGTATAAGGTAATGGCCAGTTGAAATCAATCTTATTTTCTTTTCTAATTAAAGTTAGATAATTAATTCTAATTAAAATTAGATAATTAAATATAGATAATGGGCTTGAAAACCTTTAAGGGATTGGATTGAGATGTTTTTTTGGTACACAAATTATTTGAATTTTTCTTTCGTTGGAGACTTCTCATTCTGATATACAAATAACCCTAAAGATTTACACAAGTTTAATTTTATTTCGATTTCTCCCTCAAACCCACTGCCTATATATAGGAACCAAATGCTTGTGTATATTTGCAAGAGGAAAAGAGAAGAGATGGAAGGCAAATGGTGAGCAGTTTTATTTCTCTTCACAGCGCTCCATCATATTCCAACTGCTAGTGCATTTGGAGACTATAATATCTCTGAATCTATGGTACAGGTACTACAATATTCATTTAATTAAATTACACACTAATTGCTTGTTCTTATCCTAAATTTTTTAACTTACTAAAATATATGTTGCTCTCTCTCTCTTTTTCTTTTTTCTTTTCTTTTTTTCAAATGCACCAGGTTAAATTCGTGCAGGCCGGGACGAGCGAGACAAGCTTTTGGCATTCATGGGCTCTGGCCTGTTAATTCGAGGGGAACGACAGTTGTTTCATGCACCCCCTGCCGATCCGTTAATTCCAGAGAGGCACTGCTACATATATGCTTCTTTTGTTGCTGAAAAGATACAATCATTTTGGTATTCCTAATAAAAAAGCAGAAGCTCAGGTCTTGGATGATGTGGTTTCTGAGTCTTTTAACTTAAGCCAAAACCTCAAAATAGTGTTGTTATGCTGGGATCCATGTTATTTTTTATTTTTCTATATTAGAGAAATATATATATACATAAAATGAATGATAATTAATCATTCCCAAAAATTAAACAAGGCACTCAGGCCAATGCATATTGAGTAACTTCGCGGCACCGATCGAAATAAAAATAATAATAAAAAAGAAAAAGAAAAAAGAAAAAGAAAGGTTGAGAAGGGATATCTGCAGCAGCAGCATGCATGATCTCATATTGCATATGTCATTCGTGCACTTATTGATCAAGCAGAACAGACCTACCCTACGTAATGCCAATATGAGAAAGACACATGCAATTAAATAGATGAAATTTGTTAAAGTCTTTGTTCACCATTTTATGGTTTATCATTCCTCATGTGCCAACTAGATTTTGATTAATAACAAGCTCCATTTTAACTCTTTTCTTAATAAATGTCGACTAGATTTGTTTACCGACTCTCGTTTCACACCTGTCATTTCCTATCTTCATTCATCAACTCGAGAATTTTTTATTTTTTCTGTTGTCATCTACAACTAGTGACATTTTATCAATTTGAGATTTCTTTTTTGTTTCATCTGCAACTAGTGACATTATTAAAAAAATGTTGTTGGTATTGACTTAGATTGTTATAAGGTTTCCTATTTGTCATGTGCGTCGCTGATTGCTGGATTCCCAAATTTTCTTACTAGAAAATTCCATTTGACGGTAGTCATTTATTTTTCCTTCATGCATGTCCGTCATCTCTGGTATGCACATGCATCTTTCAAGGGCACTACCTATTTGGTAGTGGTCAATTCTACAATAAGTTTTTTTATTGTTGCTTGTTCAACTTGTCATAACTTGTCATATCAAAAGATTCACATTGTACTATATATATCCCAAACAAACTTGTTCAAAAAAATTCAGAGCATACCTTGTGTAAAAATTTAGAGCTACTGACCGTCTTTTTTGTTTTTTTCAAAAAGATAGCTGCCAAGTGTTTTTCGACACTCTAGAAGGAACGTTTCGAAGCAAATTAATCTAAGTTTTAATTTAGA